GAATTTGAGAATGATGTCTGAATCAAAGTTGTAGCCAGATGGGTTAGCTTTCCAACGCATTTTGAATCGCCTCAATCGAATATCGGATTACAAAGTTATGATAAAAACACTGAAGGAAGGTGCAGCTGCCTGTTTAAAACAAGAAATTCCGTTACATAATCCGTTAAAACAACAAATTCCGTTAATTTTTTCGTTAAACCAACAAATTCCGTTAATTAGGCACTTTTTATATATAGAAAGATATTTATTGTTAGTGGAATTTACCTTTCAAAACATATTTTTGTTAAGTAAACCAGAGATGCTCCGCCTCTGTTGCCGGTGATCCACTATTTAACCGCTCACTGCCATCCGACGCCTCCTTATAATGCTCTACAACCACCAGTTTGCCGCTACCCCGCCCCCTAGGCACTCCCCAATAAATACACACACGCATGGCGACAGAGTTTATAGGATCATTATGCTGCATTTCGACTTTGTAATTTCGGAACCATCTCAAAAGATATAGGTTCAGTTGTTTACATTAAGTATTCCGGCCACTTTTAATATCAATTTCTCAGTTTTTCAATATTTTTTTCTTATAATTTGACTTTATTTATTGGATTGGTCTTTATCCAATCTATTTTATTTTGACTTCAATTTGAGATCCATGGAGGAAGTTACATTTTCAAATACTATTTATTTTCACTATGTTATTTCTTTTTTGATTAGTACCTTTCAGATTTTCTTTGATTCTTACTTTTGATTTTCAGGAATGAAAGATACATTCATAACCAAGTTCAATTTTCCTTTTTCTCCGTGTGTTAATACTAGTGACCACTGATGAAGACAGAGGCTTTGACTTGAAATCTGATAAGTGAGAAAGAACAAAAATAGGATAGAAAGAATGAGTGAAATTGTGGGTGGAGCCAATCCTCCTCTTCCAATGCCTGCAACAGTTCCATCAGAATCATCAAAAAGTGGTGGTGATGATGGTTTCGATTCTAGTCAAATCGCGAAGGTGAAAGCATGGCTCATTTCCCAGTTTGATGCAGTGGGGAAAGATGTGCCAGTGCATTGATCTCTTACACAACATTGCCACCCTCTCCCAAGCCAGAACGAAGGCAGCCTCTATTATTACGAATGACTTTCGACAGAAAGCTTTAGAATATCACTCTCAAGTTCTTTCATTCACGTAAAAACACGTGAATATGAGTATTTTATTTTGTTTCTTGTGAAATTATATTTCGCTGGAATTGTTTTTCCATTCTCATTTCTGTTTATCATAGTTGCAAGGCCAAGAGAGGTATTGGAGGATGTAGGATTAGTCCAAGAGAGTCTAGCAGCAAACGTGGTCTCGACTGCACAAGTTCTTGCCAGTGCGGTTCTGAATATTAGAGATACTGAACTTAGTAGGTAGGGCCTTTCCTCATATTTATACAGTACGATTGCTTGGATAAATTGTATTGCTTACCGGGAAAAAATATTCTAGTTTTCTTGTAGCAATGGCAGATCTTTCTCTGAGAAAAACTGCAGTAGAAGAGAAGATCTAAAGTGCAACAGGAGTCCAAAGAACTTCTCGACTATACTCGAAAGGCAATAGCAAGACTAACTTATTTGAAACGGTGAATCCTTGAATACATGCTTTCTGTAATTCTGTAAATAGAACCTAGGTCCTCTCTTTTGCAAATAAGCCTTTTTGACATTTATTTATATTATAGCGGAGAAAAAGCTAGCCTGCTCGGCTCGATTGCCACCACTAGTTATATGCGACGATCATCATTTATTGACCATTAAGTCATCAATATATGATTGATGAAGACAACAAATTGAACATAATAGCATTTTATGGATAACATGGAAAAGCAAAAGACAACATGAGTTGTATCCCATATGGATTAGAGTTATACTTGGATGAACTCGATAAGTTCAATAATGAATCGAGCACAACATGTATCGCAATGATCCTATTTATTAACGTTATAAACATGAAGTTAGCATTTTGGTTAAGATTATCTTTATATTCTAATATTTTTTTTTTTTTTTGAAAATTGAATATTGAGACATCATTGTAAACATGTATCTCCTTCCCCTTCTCAAGTCTCCTCAAAATATAAGGTAAATACGAAAATTCCACAAAACAAGAATTTTACTGAATCCCTCTCCGCAGCAGCTCAGTGAAAACAATGGCCAGCAAGTAAACACCTCTCATCGGCACAAGTCTTCTATTGCCTCGTTGATCAAATGGTTCAAACACTGACAGCAAATTTCGCAACACCATCTCCCCTGATAAAACTAAATAATCCATCATGTTACGACAGTACTCGCGACATGCAACCAAGTACAAGAAAACAAAAGCATAATTCCCATTAGCTACATTACATAAGTCCCATCGAGTCGTTTCATATCATAAAAACAAAAACCAGAAATTCTAATGAAACATACAATTGTCGATTAGCATTTCTTACATTTAAGAAGCATTGCCTTCACAACAACACACAGTTTAAATATAACAGTCTTTTGGAATATAAAGCCATGACATCTGACAATAGACGGCATTAATGCATCACCAAACACAGCGATAACTGGTATGCAACTGGGTAAGTTCACCACTGTACATGATCTTCACAACCTGCCCTTTCTCGAGGCCATAGTAACGAGCAATTGCATCCTTTTGCAGCATCCGTGGAAGCTGAAAAGGTCATTATTGAGATTTAATCAGAAATCAGCTTGTTAAGATTAACAAGTTCATTCTCCTCCTAACCATAGTGCATACAAACAATGATAAATCATTTGTAAGATTAATATTTCCAAATCTGTGAGTCATGTTCCCCCTCTCAGTCTTGCATCACGAGTCGTGTTCTTATGAGCGACGGAAAATGGGTCTTAAGCCATTTCATCAAATATAGGAAGCACCGACACGGAGTCTGAGTTTTTCAAAAAGGAACCGATATGACACATCCACGACACACAGACTAAAATATTTTTTTAATTTTTTTATTGTGCAGTAAATTTGTTTTTGCTAATTCCAACATGTTGACAATTCATCTATGACCTGTCAACATTATATCTCCCAGTGTGTTGGCGACATGTATAATAGTACAAAGCTAAAAAATAATTTTGACATGCCACCAGACATTTCTCACACATTTCAGCGATGTGTCGGTGTCCTACACATGTCGGACAATGACTCGCCTGCCCTTGGAGGGTGAGGGTGTCAGTGCATCCTAGACATCTAATATTTAGAGTAAAAAAATATCTTAAAGAAAAAACAGATGTGTCATATGTTACGTTGTATGTCATATGTTTTGAGTCGTGATTTTATCTTGTCAAGATAAAGCTGAATATCAAGATCAGTAATCACTTCACAGCATCAAAGTATGTTACAGATTTCAACATAGCATTGAGAAGATTCAACTTCTATCGTATGGCCAACATAGAACTAGGATAAATGTAAGAAGCACAATACGGTGCACGAACACATGGATTCAACATAGATACCATGCACAGAACAAAATGCTGTGAAAATACACGTTATCGATGTGCATAAATATAAATATACGATCCTGTGGGATCAAGCATGCTAACATTCTGACTTTGAATACAAACCTGTGCTTCATCCAGGCAGTACTTCTTTAATAGACTTTGTTTCTCTTGTTCAGGTAGCACCTGATGCTTTGGTTTGCATTCATGCTTAGTAATATTGACAAGTAAGTCAGTGATCTGAAGGCATAGAAAATTCTAGGGAATGTGAGGTGGATCGCCACAAAAAATAAGAAAGGACAAGGACAAATCAAATCAAATTATTGAACAAAAATGATATAAGAAAACGAATTGGTAAGTAATACGCTGTTTTTGAGATTGCGATGATGGTGAAATTCAAGACAAAATGGTTTAAACATGAAAAACATTGTTCATTTTAAATAAGGGGAAAAAAGATGAAAATATACATCTTGAAAAACATAGAGATGACAACTTCACAGCATGTATAAGGCGAGCTATGCATCATAAAACTGTTGCTATTGAACTAATTATGCACTTCCCTAGTTTATCAACGATCATCAATGTGCACAGCACAACATCAAAGCTGACTAAGCAACAGTTGACAATATCCTGATTTTATCTGTCATTGCAAGTCCACTCAACTCGGGGACATATAGTATGTGCTGAGGACCATGACTCAGGGACTATGGTATGCCATGTGCTAGTAGCCTAAAACCCAGCTGAAAATGTTAGATTATCTTTAACTTTACTTTTCCATCCTGCAGTTCTGGTCTAATTTATTATGCACGGTACGGTCATCAAAAAGGAATTACGAGACACTCCTATGTTTCGAAAAAAGACAAATTAGAGATTTGCACACCCGATAATTAGTAAACCATAGTCAAAAACTAAAGCAATACTAGTAAAAATGTTAGTAATTATGAGTATATATATCAGGTCAAAGTAATCTCAGAAAATGACATAAAATGTACATAGTACCATTAAAAACAATACTTCTACTTTTACTTTCGATTTCCTAATTTGGCGATAAAATTACACTTCTTATACCAGTAGATTAGAAGCTAAAACAGTAACTTAGATACTGATACACTATGTCAGAACCAATTTAAGAAAGAAAATATAACTGCAAACCATAGGAAAACCTGCCTGGAAAATTTCGACTTTGAATGAAAATAGACCCACTGCTTTTAATGCCTGGTTAGTTATTTTATTTTGCACTACCAGTATCAGCCGACTTAACGTGTCTCTGTTAACTATCTGAGTAGCAATCGCGCGGATGACATTTACTTTAACTATTTGCGGTCCACAGAAGATAACTAAAACCTGCAACCAAGATATTGAATTTCTGAATTAATTCAAATGCAGCTGATAATATATAATGTCAGATTTCAAGGAACAAGGGTATAACAACCAATAGAATCAGGAATCTACTATATCTCCAAGGTTCACTGGAAACTACATAACTAAATACTTTTGACTTTAGATGCATAAGACAATATATTTTTCTCACACATTTGTGTTCGAAAATTTTATATCTATGCAAGGACATCCATAAGATGAACATAGCAATAGTAAAGATATTAAGGAATTTATAAAAGGAGGAATGAGAATATATGCCACCAACTAGGGGCGAAAATAAGTAAGGATAAATTGGGAGAAGGGTGTGGGACATATGTAGATCTAAAGGAGTTCCCATTTAGAAGAGGAATGTGATCTTAATAGAGGGTTCTATAAACATGAAAAAAGACTTAAATTTACACCATCTGCCGTGGTTGTAAAAGATTTGATTTTTTTAGACTTATAGAAGATATAGATCAAATGGTAGGCCAAAAAATCATTTATTATTGTGGTACATTTATGGTATGCCCTAGCTCACGTCAACTAGATTACTTTGGGCTGGAAGTGCTCGTCGAGTTGACTGGAAGGTGAGGAAAAGAAAGCAAAGAGAACGAGAGTAGAAGAGCAAGAATTTCTGCACGCCTTAACTCATGTCAACATGACCGTGTCAAGCTTATTCAAACAAAACATTTACAGTTAATATAGCAAAACTTTGCATGGGCATTTTACCAATCTAAGAACCAAAAAGCGTCAAAAATTTGTTCAAAGACCAACAATGTGATTATGTACACTTCTTTCTAACTATAGATATAGTGGAGACACTGAGGACAGACCATCTTGCACAAAAACTAGGAAAATTGCCAGAAATCAGGAAAACACAAATGAGCATAAGATTAAAATAAAACTAAGATGGAGGAGATATTTCATTCGTTAAGAAGCCCTTTTACAGCAAAAAATTAATAAATGAATAAAACAAAAGAAGGCACACCCTACTCAAAGAAAATACCATACCAAAAAAGTTAAATTTATGAAAAATTTGCACCAAGATATTAGTTCAAGTAAACAAATACCCAAAATGCGCCCAACCCTACTTATTGCATGCAAATTTATCGATTTCAATCGTCCTATTTAGTGTGTCCACCGCATAATCACACAATACAATATTAATTGTGTGGTAGATACAATCTAGACAAAATATCACGCCAGCCCAGTGCCAAAATCTAAAAAAAATAATAAAAATGAACGAATTAAGGAGAATAACAGACCTTATCAGAAGGATGGTCATCCTTGTGAAAATTTCAAAGTTACAGTTAAAATAAAAAAAGTAACTTTTACAAAAAATCACTCCATCCCAGTACAGGAATCTTGCCACCAAAACAAAAAAGGCAAAAATAAAGGAGAAACCCAAAGACCTTAATAGAAGGGTCATCCCTGTGAAGAGAGGTGATTCTCAAATCATCAATATCCGGCTTCTGCCCATGCTTGTTACGAAATTCTTGAAGAGAAAATTCAATTTCAGCATTCGGAACAGCAAATCCACGGTCCCTCAGCATCTCCAACGCGGTTCTCCGGGCCAAATAGTATCGATGGCTTTCGATGCTACCATCATCAACGAAACCGCTCAGGCAGTTGCCTAAGCTTTCTCCGTCGACATCGGTGTCCACCCCATCTTCTTTAGTCATTTTTCCCCTTCTGGTGAACTAGGTGTGGGTTCTTGAGTCAGAGAGGTTTGGAGACTGGAAAACAATGGGGTTTTTCAATTTGTTTATTTCCCCTTAATGGCTTGATCTATAGTCAAAGGCCTTGGGCCAAGAACGGGGAGTTAAACTAAGGTTTGTGTCTTCAATTACTTGTTAAAGTTTAAATTGAACATTGACATAATATTCATTTGGAATTGGTGACGTTGCTAACGAAATACACGGGTGGCATCCCTTCGAGTTGTTACCAAATTGTCACGTAAAAAAAAGTCTTTCATCACCCATTAAACTTTGAAAAACATCATTGATTACTCGATATACTTTGAAAAATATATTTGATTGATCACATCAAACTTCAATAAGCAATCAAAAATATTTTTCAAAATATAATGAGCAATTGAAGACTTTTTTAAAAGTTTAATGACTAATGAAAAACGTTTTCTTACGATGTTATTTGGTAACGATGTGATGATGTGTCATCTGTGCATTCTGTTAGCTACATTATCAATTCCGTTACAGGTTTGAAACAGATATTATGTCAATTAGTAACGTCCCATATTTAGATAATTTTAGTTTCCAAAACTCAACATTTTAAATTTCAATGAACAATCAAAAATACGGACATAAATTCGGTGATTATTGGGAAAATCAACTCTTGAACGGGTCTCACCTAACAATTTTTTTCTATTCGAGCTCTATTTTTCTCAAAAAAAAAAATGTTTTTTTCTAAAACTCATTTTCAACAACAAATTCTTTTATAAAATAATTTACATGTTAATTCCAAAAAATTTCCCATTTTTTAACTACGTATTTCCTAAAAAATCATTATTTGAAAACTTTTTTCCCCCAAAAATGGGGCTCAAACATGGCTTAGTAACACATAATTAGCCGTACGTGGGCAACTTACCTGTCTCAAGTGACCTAAGTCATCAAATTGAACCAATTCAAGTCGGTTTGAATCAATTTGGAGGAATGTTGATTTAATTTTAGATTTATTTAGATTAACCTGAAAACTTTGGTTCGAATCAACAAACTGAATCGATTCAAATCAACTTGAGTTGATTTATTCATCTTGTCAATTTGATTTTGGGTTGGATTTCATCCACCTCCAACCGTTGGTTCGGTTGTAGGGTTGGATTCGAACTCGACAACACTTGACCAGTGCATCAGTGCCCACCCTTAACTATCTCACTTTTTCACACAACTTTTTGAAATTATAAACTTGTGAGTCGCACAAGATGTTTGAATTAAAATTGATAAAAAGCTGTAAGTTTGTTGAAATGAATAAATTTTGATCAATTTATAATCTTATAAAAACTTTGACAAACAGTGACTTAGTAATGTCAAGAATGAAAGAATTACCAAAGTCCAAATTGGAGACAAAAAGTCCGACTTCAAGTCGAAAGCACATCGGTGTAGCTCGCATGAATAAGATAAATGAAAGAAATATTAACATATGTTAGAAATTTAGAACAACAACACATTCGTTTCACAATCCCATTGGGAGGAACTTACAAGCTAATTTATATGAAGAAATTGTCTTATAGAAAATTCCTTTTTTTTTTTCCTTGTAAAAATGGTTAGAAATATTTTCAAAATTAACCTTTTTATTTAATTCAATCTTTGAACTTCATTAGATGCAAACTTTATTACTCGTTGGAAGAAAATGGGTCGCCATGTGAGTTGACTCCACCCGGATTGCATGGAAAAAGTTTGGAGGAAGAAGTTGAGTTTTTTTTTTTTTAAATTGAAACCATAACTCCCCGCCACCTCTAACTTTCATAAACACCCAATTTATCGCAAAATCAGATAGAGAACGATGAAATTCGAATTATACAAAAGAGAGAAAAATACACGAGGTTGGTGACTTGATTTTGGAAGTATAACATTTCAAATTGGGTTCTTGGATTATGAACATCAACCTCCTTCCTTGGTGATCGAGTTTCTGACCAGTAAACGGGTACAAGACAGTGTGGAAAGCAAACAATCAAAAGGCAAGTGATTCAACCTCGTTTTGGTATTTTCAAGTAAGTTTTACTACTCCAAACTCGGTTATAAACATTCAAGCACCTTTTACAAAGATAAATTTAGATTTCTACCTTTCACCATAATTTAGAAAAAAAATTCCAAACTGCAATCCAAACCAACCCAAATCGGACTACTATTTTGCAGTTGAGTTTGGTTCAAACCGCATTTTAACTACCAACATAGAAGTATCGATTCTGAAATTTTAGAGAAGTTTCAAATTGTCTCTAAACTACCAAAATCGAAATTGGAGACATAGTTTAGATGCGGTGGACAGTTTTTGCTTACAACCCAAGTTTTGGCCAGCTATCTTGCATTTAATCTATTATAATCTAGAAATATTTTTGGGGTGGCAATGATTTTAAGATAGTCTTAAAATGGCGTGGAGGTCTAGTCCTCTTTAAAACTTAACGTCGGGAATGCTCATTGAACATGCAGTTCAGTGTAGACGTCAAATCGGTTATTGACAACTAACCCAACCAGTAACTATAGAAAGACGGCAAGCCAAAGCCCAGTCAGGGATTGCTAAAAGGATTTAGCAACACGTTTAGCTAAGCTCAAAGGAAGTGCAATTTTTGCACTGAAAATTCAAAAAAAAGAGTAACTTCAAGAAAATTACAACAAAAAATAACTTTTAAGCTTAGCCAAACAATAAGTTTTGAGGATATGAACAGCAGAATATCAGGTAACCTTTTAACAGCAGCAGAAAGCTCCATGAACATCACTAACTTGAACCATAGCACAGAAAGAAGTAAAAGATTTACTAACTTCAATGGTTCTTTCCCACGATTCAACTATCCAATTCAAACAAAAAATCATGAACTGTAGTACATATGGGAAGGGCATTCGTTTGCTAAGATTTTGAGAGCAAGAACCAAACATGAACACTATCGTTTTGATATTAATTAAGCCGCTAGTTCGTACCTAAACAACAGTGATTAGACCCACTATTCTTTATGATTACGAGTGTTCTACACTAAAAGGGCAAAAAAATCTATAAGATGAACCTAGCAGAAACGAGGATGCTAAGATGCACGTGTTTAAAAATGATCAAGAATGCAAACCAACATTTAGAAATTAAATTCTCCATAGAGTGGGAACACATACATAAAAAGACATGAAAGCTGCTCTAATCACTATATCCTTAAGAATGATACTTATTGTGCCAATTTAGTTTATGGAGGCTTGAACTTCCAGTGACTTCAACAATTGTCTATTTCCTGCAAAAGTTAAATATAAGACCTATTTTATGACAGACAGCAGGATGATCCCAATCAAAACATTGCAGGATAATTACGTACTACATTAAAGAGAAATCCCAAAAAAGGATAAAGTAAAAGAGAAGTATCTTTTGCTCCAATTACAGACAGCATGGCAACATAAAAGTTTTATTTAATTCTGTAAAATTCACTGGTACAAAACGCTGTTTTCTATTAATAAAGGCATCTCAAAGACAGAATAAAAATTGAAAAACTAACCTTGAGTTCATCCTTGGTGGAAATGAAACCATCTTCGAGCAACATTTTCAGGTGTGTCAACTCAAGATTCAAAGGGCAAAAAGGGGAAGAGAGAGAGGGATTGAATCCATATATTCATCGGCAGTGAGTTTTTAAATTTGAGATTAATCGATTCAAAAACAACAGAACTTCTATAATTTGAATATCAGGATTACATTCCATTTTCAATTCTTCAGCTCGATTCTAGTGCTCAAGTACAAATTAAAAATGTCATCAAGTTTTCCCATTCAATCAAAAGAACATCGATGCAAATTCATCCAATCCAGTGTACTCTACTCTAATGCAATCCATAATATTGGTTTCTGAACATTCAACTATACAACATTTTTCCAAATGTAGAAAGCAACAGTATCATAATGAAAGAAGCTTTACAAACAGCATATTAATGCACCAGACAGTTTATTCATGAAGTTGCAACAAATTAAAACAGCAAAAAACCCATCTTAAGGATATCGTTAAATATCTAAAGAAGGCATAAATTGTTAATCAACAGGGTCCATTAATTTCACTTTTAATGTTTTGAAATCCATTAGAATCATACCTATGAAACAGAATCAGTATTAGCAGTTCAGCTAAGCTAATGCTTCATTGAGTAATATCTGAGTCTCCAGGAAAAGGAAAAAAAAGACAGGTACCAACTTATCAAAAATTAGAATTCATCAGCAGCACTTATTCTAAGCAAACATTTCCAAGCTACAAAAAAAAGCAGCGATTAACTCTCACAAATAAAATAAAGAAACAATAGGCAACATTTAGAAGCATGCACAAAATGATACTTCTTTATTAGTTAATGTTGTTCAGAGACAACGAACAAGAATATCCAACCGTTACAATATGCAGAAAGTTTACATAAAGGAGACTGAAACAAGACCCTACACAAATAGTGAAATACATACACATTCCATTAGAAGCAAAGTTCTATAAATAGCCTAACAAATAAGTTCCAAACAATAGTTTTCACTGATCAGAAGTAACACTCAAGGGAAACAACCAGAGCATCGTATCAATCCATTCTCATTGCAATTGGGGCACCTCCTCATTCTCCCTTCATCTTCTTCATAAATCTTCCGACTTCCATTGCAATTTGGGCATGGAACAAACCTTGCATCCCCACAAATCTCACACACAAACACCAAATCCATAAGCCGAAAACCTTTCAAAAGCTTAGCTAACTCTCCAGCCTCATTAAGCTGCTTTATCTCCTCTGCTCCACCAATGTGTTTCCCTCTAATAAAAACTTGTGGCAAGCTCACAGCCTTGACTTTCAATGCCTCCAGCAACTCCTTTCTATATGACGAGTCCATTGAAATATCCCTCTCGTCCACACACACTTTATACCCACTGAAAATCCCCCTTACAGCACAACAATCCTCATAAGTCTTCCTAATCCCCCTCAAGCTAGTGTAATACAATATAATTCGATCCTCAGCACCAGATAAATAA